AAAACGAGTAAGTAATCGACGACCGTTTCACCTCATTATGAGACTTCCATCAGTTCATATCTTTGATCTCAGCAAGGATCGAATCCAACATTATAAAATTTTGTAGATAATAGTTAACCAATTTACGATATTTCCTAGATTATAGGTCTGAATTACCGGGGTTAATGTTCCACAATGAACATTAGTTCTCTTAAATGACTTGTCAAATGAGATATTATTATGATGTGAAATGTTCTGTAATATATGAATGGTGTTTATCGAATTACCTTGGCAAGTAATAATATGGCAATGAATTATTTTGTAGTGTGGCGTCGAGTCGTGGTTGACTATGATCACCACCACAGGAAAACTACATGCCAGTTAACCGATAAGATCCCCCCGTAGACCAAACATCAGAAGACAGTTGATGCCTATAGTCGAGATGTATTCGTTGGTGATCTCATTGTATCGAAAGAATACCGAGATCATGCCAAAGGAGTACAAGTGGAACTACTGAGCGTAACCGAGAGTGTGCAATGTCACAGTCAACGGAAGAAAGAATGTTTTTAGTACAATTAAACAAACAAGTACAGTAGAACAATCACTGGTACAATTGGTTATAATAACAAATGTTTCCATTACATCAATCGCGTTCTCTTGATGAAAGTAGGTCACTACAACTTAATGATAAATACACTGATGATATTTTGTCTTTTCATCATTTTCAGAAGGTTATGAATGAAAGCTACGAATTTCGTATGTAATTATTGTTAAAGAGTTCTATTTCAAGGAGGTTACAATGGTATTATAACAATTGCAATACATATCTGGCAGTTATCTTTATAAATCTCTTGTGTTATCAGAGATAGAATATGTCAATACGTATAAAGTGATAAACTGATGAGATTTAGATGGTAGTTGGAGGTAGTCAACAGGAAACCCTGGACCCGGGTTTCGTGCTACTTGGCACTCGTCAGCAAGGTGTACCTGTAATCTTGAGGGAGTTGGTGCTCCCTGGCGGATTCGATCTCGTGTCACCCAGCTTCACAGTCAGAGACGTTACCACTGAGCTATCCGAGTCGTGACTAACCTCCTGTAGGACTGAGATGGAATCACAATTGATTGATCACTGGGTGGTGATCAATGTCATGCTTGTCTAGTCCTTATTAGTGCAGATCGAATGCTATCGATCATGTTGCAATGTGGCCAACAGTGTCGAGTCACCTACACTGTTGGCCACATTGCAACATGATCGATAGCATTCGATCTGCACTAATAAGGACTAGACAAGCATGACATTGATCACCACCCAGTGATCAATCAATTGTGATAAACTGATTTCAGGAATACTTCAGTTTATCTACATTGTCTATGATAAAATGTTTATTTCATTTATATAATCTTATACTCTTTATGAATGGTTTGTGATATTCAATATATCTGTGGTGTATGCTACTTATATCGACAGTTATAAATAGTAAGTAAAACCAGTTAGAAGTGGAAAACCTGGCAGCAGGAGTCTAAGAAAATCGAATTGAAGGGAATAGAAGAGAAAATAGGTAATAATTGTCGATTGAAAGAATCATAGAGAATTTGAAGGACAAATGATGGAAATGTGTTAATGAAATAAACAATTCATGGTATTTGAATATAGTCGGTCAGTCTCCCCAATGATCTGGATCATCATATACCTTTTATTAGCTCCTGTTTCTATAAGCCATGTAGATCAATATCACTAACAGTTTAATGATAGTATCCGATAGCTAACTAATATTGACATATAGATCGAACATTCAGCTGTGCATTCTGACCACTTCTAAAAGATTCACCTGCTCATTAACAGCTAGATAGTGCGAACGGCAATTCATACGAGATGGTTTACGAATATTAGCCAACATGATCATTGATGGATTTATTAAAATCATCATAAATGAACATGGAATTAGAGTCGAAAGTCTTATGCAAAGTAGGCATGTTTTAATTTAGTTTCTAAACAACTATTTATGATTTCAAAATGAAGATTATCTAAAAGATTCTTAAGCTGAAGAGATCAAGATATCAGCTAATCGATCAAATCTATTGATTATACTCTATGATGTTTAGTTAGCAAATATACTCATAGGGAGAAATCTTATAAACTATGTTAGGAGGAAACATCCTTCTTAATGATGATGGATGGTGGCTAGCAGTGGAATCCAGTTTGACGCGTGTCTCGTACTATTTAGGACGCGTCAGCTGGATGTACCTGAACCTCAGAGTTGATGTCCACTTCGGGACTCGAACCCAGTACTGTTCTCTTCAAACGCCATCGCGTCATCCACTTAGTTACTGAGTCCTGATAGCCACTTGCTTGTGCAATTGGGTGAATTTAAATTCACTTGGTATTGTTTGGCTTGTATCTTCCCATTGAGGTTTAAGACTGCAATCGTTCGGTCACTTGTTGACATATGTGCATCCTATGTGGACTGCCTCGATATTGCCTTAAATCACAAGTTTTATAAACAAAAATGAATAATGTCTAGGAGTGAGATCCAGGATATACGTTTTGTCCTATTTGCGAATTGCGATGGCGTTTGAAGCGAACGGTACTGGGTTCGAGTCCAGTAGTGAACATCAACTCTGGGATGCGAGCACATCCAGCTGACGTGTCCCAAATAGGATGAAACACGTGTCCTATATTCCACTGCTAGACACTATCCATCTTTGTGGGAACAATTATTTACGGTTTCAGAAAAAAGTAGATTTTCTTTATAATAATTTAATTACCGATTAAAACCGTATAAAGAACAATTTAAAAGTATTAAAAGAGATTTTTCTCCACTTATTTGAGTTTGCGGCCACTCAACAATGTCTACCAACCATCACACAAGAAACTGGACTCAGGAACTTGACACTGTTCTGTCTTTTATTTTCATTTATGCAATATTTCGTTCTTCTCTAAATAGTTGACGAACCCAATGACGGATATGAAAGTTTGAATGTCAATAGTCGGCTATTAATGATCGAGAAACCTTTTATTTATTCATGTCTTGAATTACCCAAAGTAGAGCCAGTGGGTGCCAGTCTTGATCTGATGAGCAATTTATCTATTTACAGTTAGCTGCTTTCACTTGTATTTCTCAATTACCAAGTACTTTTGCTTATGAATTTGATCTAACATGTCATGACATTACGGTGATTATAGTATCCGCTGGGTACATCAGTGACACTAGATAATGAAAGCTACGTATAACTAGTCGACTAAAACTGGGGCATAGTAAATTTAGACTATTGATTTGGAACCTATTGGCCAATATTGTCCATCGTTTGTCAACTTAGATTATCACGTGAGTATCATACCGTTCTGTAGGCTTGTATCTATTTGGTTCCTGGCATACGGCAGTATCGATTACTATGTTAGGCCCAAATAACTTATTCTAGCTTCTGGAGAAGTTAATTTTTGATTTTTAATTATTCACTTATCAACCGTGGCTGTTTCTATATGACCGCACATGTGTGTACACTTCTTATTCTATTCATTACATGTCTGTAGCTTATTTTTGTGTGACCGTAAATATCGATTCACGGTTGATTAAATGGAGTTAGCTCACAAGCCATCTTCACTGCGCGTCATTTCGTTTCGCTCTCTTCTATTCGCTCCGTCTCTATGACTACCTTTTCAGAAGCTAGAATATGGTATATGGGCTTAACATAGTAACCTAGATGAGACCATAATTTATGGACGACCATTGATTGAGAGTATCCACGTAATATCTAGAACTAAATGGGGGTTTTAAACCAATGTGAGGAATAAGAATTATGATGTACAATTGATGATTAAGGTTAGGAATTAGATCTAGGGTTTTCATTACTAACTGACATCCGATATAATGCCAAAACTCTATTTATTTAAATGGATGAGTGAATTTCGCGCCAAAATCCGGGACCTATTATCTTACACATGATTGGTTCCTTTATAGATTATTGTCTTGCCGTAACCTACACCACAATACTATCATCATAGAATCTCATTGAAGATGTAGTGACTGGTACAATGTCAAGTTTACATAGATTATTCTAACTTCTTGACAGATCATTGTATTCATTCTTCTCAAGCCACAAGATCATTTAAATAACGAGGCTTACAAAGAAAATGCGTAATTATTATACTACACTGAACAGTATTACTAGTTACTAATTACTGAGATCAACTCATAAGCAAAGAACTTCAATCTTTTCTCTCTTTTTGTTTATCAAACTAAATACATTTTATTTTAATAGTCGTAATCATAAATCATTTGAAGTTAGTCCACTATTGAAAATCTGGAAACACTGAATGGCCGTTTCGTAATCGTATGGGACACCTCAACAGTACACATCCATAATCCTGCCTTGTAGGATTCAAACCCAGGATCTATTAGTCTCGTGCACGAACTCTTAACTTTTAAACCATTGAACCAGTCGGCATCCAACGGTGTTGATATCTGTTATATCCCGATAAGAACAATGAATGGTAACTGTTTGGATCTATTTCTGGTCTCATACTATACGTGTATTTCTATCGTATAATTGTTGTGTAACTAAACCGTTCATACTCGTGTCCTTCTTATTATTTTAACCTACGAACTATTATTATACGATTTACCTTTGTTGAGTTATGGCCTGTCTATTAATTACTATCTCCCTTATTCACAGCCACATTTGACTAATTCCTGTACAAATGTTGTTTCCTATTTTATGGTACCTTGTGGTTTGTCTGGTTGGTATATAAATCGAATATGTTTGAAATAATTGATTCATATTGGAGAGGCTGAGATTAGTGTTCTGAACTTCACTGGCTGGGTTTGACAGGAAACCAGACAATCAGGACTCTGGACTGCTCGCAAATGTTTTATGTCACTGGTTCGATCGATAATTCGCTGCTCTCTGACTGGCGGTATCGTTACGTTATACAATAAACAACGCACACAAGTTCACAAGTTATAACAATGTCTTATTTCAACGAATCCACAACATTGACCGACATATCTACCATTCTCATCAATGAATTACTATCTCACAATAGATACAGTTAAACTCGACGGATCACTGTTTCTCATCAAACCTTCATGAAATACTTCTTGAAGCCAGTCACTAATCAGCATATGTTTTATTTTATATAAAATTTACACAAACACACGCACACACACACACGAAAACTCATCATGATGAATATGAATATGTTATACAATGCTATCGGAACTTTCAAATATATCTGTTGAATGACAAATGTTCATATTATTACTATTATTAGTAGTAACATTAATGGTATCCCCATACTTAGTTACTGGTTGACAACATGAATGAAATTGTTTAGAATATATGAAAGGATCATTATGATTATTATCATTTAAATAGAATATCGGATCAATATGATCATGATTATATAGAAATGATTTTGAATAATTTTTTGTTATTGAATATTTCTTTAATGATTTCATGAAATGATCATTAAATAATTGATTATTATTATTATTATGATGATGATGATCATGATCATTTTGTTCATTGATTATTGATTTCAATAATACATTTGATTGATTTCTATTGATTGATCGATATAAATAAGTGAATTTCTTTTGATCATCATTCATTGAATCAATTAATGGATTATTGATTTTTGATAAAATTATTGATTGTATTGTATATAATCTTGTTAAAAATAAATTCCATAATGTTCTAATTAAATCATTCATCATAATATCATTCATATTCATTGATAATAACCATAAAAGGAAGATACCATCAAGATTTAAATATTGATTTATAAATAATTTAAATTGATTTAAATCGATTGATTGATTGATTGATTGATTGATTATTGATTGATTAATTGATTGATAAGAATATAAAAATTTTTAATAAATTTAATACGTTTCTTAGATAGAGTTAAACGTAATAACCATTTGATTAAACTATAAAATGTTAATAAACCAATAAATAGATACCAAAACCATAAAAAAACATAAACTTTTTCTAAAAATAAATTTAATGGTAATACACATTGTAAAGTATATCTGTGAAAAAAAAAAGAAAAAGAAAAGAAAGAAAAAAAGAGAAAAGATAAAAAAGAAGAAAAAGAAAAAAATAGTGATATATATATTGATAAATTAGAACGTATTATGGTTAATGATTACGTCATTTATTGGACAATCGATCGATGATTTAATCGATCTTAGTATTGTACTAAATCAATAAATATTTAGTATCAGGAGGGGTTTTGTGAAGATTGTAGTAATTTCAATAGTTGAGATCATGGAGAGTCTGGAAGCACTGGATAGCCGTTTCGTCCTATTGTGAGACTCATCAGCAGTGCGCATCCACGAACCCGCCTCAAGAGATACAAACCAAGGATCTATCAGTCTCGCGTCAGGCGCTTAACCAACTAGACCATTGAGCTGACCAGCATCTAACGGTGTGAATGTCTAATTTCAACTAATCTACGAAATTAAGTGACACATCCAACATTGTTATCAGTGAGTGACTACCTCACAACTGACCCGGTTGTACTCTACTAGTCACTGCTTCTCATCAGAACTCAAGAATATCTCTCTTGAAGTCAGTCACTAGTGAGCATATGTTGATTAGTATCAGAAGGAGTTTATATACTAGTCAAACAGATTGAATTACATTATAAAATAAAAAATAACATTGATACAAGATCAATTTAAAATGTGATTGTGAATATGGAAGATTGTAATCAGTTAACTGAATATAACTTTAAAATAGTAAATCATATCATAATAATAATTTATAGGTTAAAATGAAGCTTATAATAAGAGGAATATAGATAGATATACATAATCTAGTTACTGAACGAATGTATGCATAATATTAGTCCACTAATAGATCTCAGACATTACCCGTAATCTAATCTTCTTTAGGATATAAGTTATATCATTGATTTACTTACGCCTGTTACTCACAATCGAGCATAGACCCCTGATCTGCATTCTCCAACAAACTCTGTCCTCTACCTTCCTTTCTAGTTTTATCCAATTCTTGTTCATTCTTCTCATGTCTGTCTGTCTCCATTTCCCGAAGTAATGTGTTCTTTGGTCTTTTCTTCTCTCTTGATCATGAGGATTACAATTGAGGACTGGCGTTGTGACACAGCTTGGTGCTTTCCTCAATGTGTGTCCTATCCACTTCCAACAATTCTTCCTGATTTCTTCCTCCACTGAAATCTGGTTTGTTCTCTCCCACTGTAGGTTATTCATGATGATTGCTGATGGCCAACCGATCCGAAGTATTTTGTGTAGACAACTGTGAATAAACACTTGCATCTTCTGGATGATCACTTTTGTAGTTCTCCAGGTTCCTGCTCCATACAGTAGCACTGTCTTGATATCTGTATTGAAAATTCTGACCCTGGTGTTGGTTGAAATATTTTGAGTTCCAGATGTTGTTCAGTTGTAAATATGCTGCTCTGCTTTACCGATTCGCGCTTTCACATATGCATCAAACCCACCATGTTCATCAATGATGCTGCCCAAATATGTGAAGGTTTTTACATCTTCCAAATCTTCTCCGTCAATTGTAACTGGATTGGTGCATGTTGTGTTGTATCGGAGAATCTTACTTTTCCCTCTGTGTATGTTGAGACCTACTGCTGCTGAGACTGCTGCCACACTGGTCGTTTTCTCTCACATTTGTTTTTGCGTGTGCGATAGAAGAGCCAGATCATCTGCGAACTATAGGTCGTCTAGCTGTCCACTGTATTCCGTGCTTCCCTTCAGATGTTGACGCCTTCATGATCTAGTCGATACTATAAAACTCGATAACTGATTTTAATCTTACTATAATTAAGATATATATAGCTTATTGTCTTTAAAAAGAAATGTCCTTGAAAAGTTATGTCAAGTATTCTATGTAGTAACAGTATGACATTAAGAAGCCCTTTGGGAAGTGAAAATCATTTGAACGACTTCCATACACTAAATATTATAATTAGTAGATACGGAAATTATTTAATTTTAATACTTGAATTCATGAATCAATTGAACCTAGACTACCATGAAAAACCAGGAAGCACTGGTCAACCATTTCATCCTAGTTAGACATTCACACCTTTGGATGCTGACCAACTCAGTGGTCTAAAGGTTAAGGATCACCCTACCGTACATACAAGGAATATCAGAAACCGCAACGAGACTGCTGAAAACCTTCGGGATAGGTGTGGCACACAAACCAACAAAATCATTACAATCAATCCTATGCAAACCAAAAGATGAAATAACAAAGGAAAACAAATCAAACATCATCTACAAAATAAATTGTACCAACTGCGACAAACACTACATCGGACAAAGCGGACGCCCCCTCCACCTACGCCTACATGAACATCAATTAGCAGTCAAACGCCATGATATCTCTTCACTTATATCAATACACGTGGATAACTACGGACATTCATTCGATTGGGAAAATGTAGAAATCTTAGACAGAGGAAACTCCAAAAACACCAGAGAATTTTTAGAAGCTTGGCACTCAGGTCAATCAGCAATCAACAAACATATTGAAATCAATCCAATTTATCAACCAATCAGGAAAATCATGCATAAATATAGGAACAAAAATCAAACCAATGGGAGACACAACCAAAACAAAGAAGTAAACAATGATAAATTTAAGGTCAACAAGAACCAATCAACATCGAGGTGCACAGAACAAGCTGTGAAACACATATGGAGAAATTCGAACACTTCACTTCTATCTGAAGTTTGTGCTGATGATGTCGTTCAGAAGAACGGTGAAAGCTCCACGACCAAACCATCCAGCTCAGAGAACAAAACTCCACCAAAAAGTTAAGCGTTCACACATGAGACTGATAAGTCGTGGGTCTGATTCTTATGAAGCTGAATCATGGATGCACACCTCTGAGGAGTCCTATACTAAAATGAAACAACATTTCAGTGCTTCCAAGTTCTTCTTGTTGATCTAGCTTCAATTAACTCATCAATTCAATTAAAATTTATTGTAATATCCACAAAAACCCCTTCTTTGAATTAGTTTATAGTTTAAACATAATGATTAGTGAAATGTTGTTGGAGTGATCCAGAAAGTGTCTTGCAAAAGACAAGCAAGGATCAGGAAACACTAAGAAGCGTCTCATTCAATCAGCGTTCACTTGAAGTTTTAGCCAAAAATATGAAGGAAATGAAACATCACATGTAGATGTTTTGATTGGCTGGCTGCTACACTGCTACTATGTTTAGTAGTATTCCAGAATCTTCGAGCAATTCAAGAACATTTAAATTATTATAAAAACTCTGTATTTTTTGTATTGAAACAAATCTTGGAGTAAAGTACTTCTCGCATACTTTGCGTTCTCTCTTTCTTGTTGTTCAGGTCGCTGTATAGTTCTAGCTTAGGGGTTACAGAATAGCTTAAGTAACGAATATAGCGTTCAATTATTAATGATGAAATTATTATAAAAACAATTATTCACTCAAATATTCTTCTCCATTTTTTGTTGCTATTGCATATTCTATGTGTGGGGGGGGGACAAAGAGAGAGCGAGAGCGAGAGAGAGGGGGGTAGGGGTTAGGAGTGGGAAATCCAAATAATTATTTTTAAAACAATTAAACTATTCATTCATACTTACTTATAATTTTTTCCTAATTTTTTCGCTTCAAAATCACAATAGGTTACACGTGGAAAATGTCCTGTTTCACTCCATATATTCCCATAGATTAAATCTTTTAATACATAAATACCAAAAAAATATGATTTGACACCAAGAAATATTTTTAGTAAATAGATTTGTCCAATTATATTTATTAAATATAATAATTTGATAGTAACATATAAATAAAATAAAAAACTATGACTACGTTGAATTCTTTTAATTTTTTGGTTACCACCGCCACCACCCCCACCCCCACCACTAACACCATTACCACATAGCAACCAATGAAATAAACATGTTGGTAATAAACATAATAATGTTAAGAAACAACGTAAAAATAACCCTAAATTATATATTAATTGATAACATGTATTTTTAATAGAAAATATTTTAGATTTAGATTGATAATTATGTAATAATGATTGTTTATTAGAATTCATTGATTGTTGTTGATTATAATATGATGATGATGATGATGATGATGATGATGATGATGATTTTTGTTGGGATGGATTCAATGTTGATTGAGTACTTTGTAATTCTGTGAGAAATAATGAAGAAAAAAGAAAAAGAAAAAGAAAGTACAAGTTTATTATTATGGTATTTAATAAAATATTGATTAATATATTTGTATTATAAGCAATACAGACTCGTTCGAGATAAAGACCGGTGTCAGGCAATGTTACATACTCTCACCTTTTTTCTTTCTCATGGTGATCGACTGGATCATGAAAACGTCAACATCTGAAGGGAAACGCGGGATACAGTGGTCAGATAGGATACAGTTGAAAGATCTAGACTTCGCAGATGATCTGGCCATCCTATTGCACACGCAACAACAAATGCAGAAGAAGACGACCAGTGTAGCAGCACTCTCAGCAGCAGTAGGTCTCAATATACACAAAGGGAAAAGCAGGTTTCTCGGATACAACACAAAATGCACCAATCCAATCACAATTGACGGAGAAGATTTGGAAGATGTAAGAACCTTTACATATTTGGGCAGCATCATTGATGTACATGGTGGTGGGTTTGATGCAGATGTGAAGGAGTGGATCGGCGAGGCAAGAGCAGCATATTTACATCTGAAAAACATCTGGAATTCAAAATAATTGTCAACCAACACCAGGGTCAGAATTTTCAATACAGAAATCAAGACAGTGCTACTGTATGAAGCAAGAACCTAGAGAAACACGAAAGCCATCATCCAGAAGATACAAGTGTTTATAAACAGTTGTCTTCACAGAATACTTCGGATCCATTGACCACACACTATCAGCAATAACCTACTGTAGGAAAGAACAGAACAGATTCAAGCGGAGGAAGAAATCAGGAAGAATTGTTGGAAGTGGATAGGACACACATTGAGGAAAGCACCCAACTGCGTTACAAGACAAGCCCTCACATGGAATCCTCAAGGCTAAAGGAGTAGAAGAGGAAGGTCAAAGAACACATTACGCCGGGAAGTGGAGATAGACATGAGAAGAATGAACAAGAATTGGATGGAATTAGGAAAGATGACCCAGTAGAGAATGTGTTGGAGAATTGCGGTCGACGGCCTATGCTCCATTAGGAGTAACAGGCGTAAGTAAGTAATTAAATAATTATAAGCAATGATGGATAGTGGCTAGTAGTGGAATCTAAGAAACTCGTTCGAGTCCCAGAGTGAACATCAACATGTTTGAGATGCAGGTACATCAAGTTGGTGAGTCCAAAATAGGACGAAACATGAGTCCTGGATTCCACTGCTAACCACTATCCGTCTTTGCTAATAAAGTTAATAAATTCAGGCAATATGAAGGTAGTCCATACAGGATGTACATGTGCCAACAAGTGATTGATCAATTGCAGTCCTAAATAACAGTGTGGAGATACAAGTAAAACAACACAAAGTAAACATATGTATAATAGTTAAATTGTTGAAGTTGAATTTATGAGTTGATCTAAAATAGGTCAACCATTGAAAATCTGGAAGTACTGAATGGCCGTTTCGTTCAAGTATGGGACTAATCATCAGAGCGCATTGATGAATGAATTCTGTGGGAATGAAGGAACAGTGAAGTCTGAGACGATTGATTGACATATTGAAAATGAAGTATTTACTGTGTGATTTTCAGATTTTACTAAGATGTTCTGTAAATTTGTATTCGAATACATTCGGTTGTCCACATTTATGTTCTCGTTCACTACACTATTTGTTAGATGCTTTGAAATTGGATCAAATGTTAAAATAGATAAATTTGTTCCCATTAAAATGAATTTTTCTATACTTTCTGTGCGATTCTCATCACAAGACATTAATTACAGTGTACATACTGGTCATCAAGATATACTGAATTCTAACGAATATAAGGAATAAGATAGCGTCTCATAGATTGTTTATAGTACAAGTATTGAACATTATCGCAAAATAATTGAACCTAAATCGTTGGATTCTAGCTTAGTCTTTTAGATAGACCTGACTACCTGAAAGATAAGAAGATTCTGCTTCCCATCTTACCTTTGATAGTAGTAGTGCAGTTCTGTGATATTTCTGTAACTATAATGAAAACAATTAATATCAGCATAGAGTTGTGGAGATTATTAAGTTTTTGATTGAGATCATGAACTGATTGATGTAAGACCATCACCATGAAAACCTGAAAACACTGGACAGCCGTTTCGTTCTATTATGGGACTCCTCAACAGTGCTCATCCACGATCCCACTCGCGGGATCCGAATCCAGGGCCTTAAGTCTTGCACGCGAATGCTAAAGCTCTAGGCCACTGAGTCAGCATCTAACGGTGTTAATGTCTAATCTCAAACAATCCACGAAATCGAAAGACACATCCGTGACTTTGTATTTACTGAAAACTATAAATACCTGAGAATTTCTCACTATGTTTGACACCGTTTTGGAATAGAATTCCTTTCACCTGTCTTCTATCTTCTTATTTGCAACTTGAAGGGTTCTGGCATTCGACTACACAAGTTGTACGTGGTGTATCAAGAATCTAACCTCTAGATACAACAAACTTGAAATATTATAAGTAGATCTACTAACTAAGTTGTGAATCGACAAGTAATTACTTAGCTGTTGCAAGAAACTGATTATCAAAGTGTAGCTCTCAGAAGAATCTACATATTTGAAATGATGACGCACATATGTTCTTTTTTTTAAGAGTACGTAATGCATATTAGTGTATAATCTCATTATTTTTCCTACTAGTGTTTACCAAACTCTTATCTTATGATCCACCTCATTAAGTTATTGTTTCCTTCATTCTTTAAATAGTTTAACTTTTTAAAATCTAGTTAACGTTTTTTGGCAAGATTTTTGTCTACGAGATAGAGTTGCTGACCTCATACACAACCCTCTTTCTTTACCCGGGTTCGACACCGGCAGTAACTCTAGAAGAGCTACCGTTGGAGTTTTATTTTCTTTATAACTTTAGATAAGTCATCGTATATATGTCTAAATTTTGATGGACTTTTGTTCTTTGAGCTGGATGGTTTATTCATGGAGCTTTCATCGTTCTTCTGAACGACAAACTTCAGGCAGAAGTCTACTTGAAGTTCCACGACTAAACCATCTAGATCAAAGAATAAAACTCTATCAAAATCATCTTCTCCACCATGTCTAAATTTCAATTAATTTAGATAATCTCGTTGAAAATTCTATTCTGGTCATAAATCATTAGAATCTTTTATGTTATTAGTTAAATTACAATCATCACTTATTCATTTGATTAGTTTTCAATCATTGATTTAGCTTCAGGCTATTTTTAATAGACAAAAATAGATTGAGTTTATTCCATTTTTTAATTCTTATCATTCTATAGTGAATTTAAAAAAAATTATCATGGGGATTACATTCTTTGAAGCGCGCTGCTGATGAGTCGTATACTAGGACGAAAGGACCATCTGGTGCCTTCAGGTTTTCCATGGTGGTCTAGTTTCAATTGACTCATGATTTCAACTATTGAAATTACTAAAATCTCCACAAAACCCCATTTGATAATTTACATTATGTCTATTACATAAACAATTTAAAGCTTATCTCGGCAATGTTCAATGAAAAAGTTCAAACTCAGTTCAGATTTGTACTTTAAATACAGAAGCCAATTGGCTCAGTTCATTAACCCAATAAAAATGCATGATAAACATCCATTATCCTGGATTGCTGAAGACATAGTTGAAACAGGTCATAAGATGATTGATCTCAACACGGTTTTTGTAGTGTTGTAGTGTTAAAGTGTTAAATGGAGTATACTAAGGTTTATTGAAGCCATAGCCATACGAAAACTCAAACCTCATTTGTGTACTGAAAATAGTTTGCTGTCTCCTTAAGCCTATTCTGTAAATAATAGCTGATTATGCATCATAATGAGGTTCCAAATTGTTTTTCATATCATTTTCTTGATTATCTTTGTCTCCTCATTGGTTTACGTTAATTTTTTTCCCAGGGGTTCTGTATTATATGTCTAGTTTTTCCTCAAATGAGTTAAATAAATGTGCAGGCACCATAATTTATTCCAATAGTACATTCAATACATTCGTTACACAAGCAAGTAGTGTTATATCCAGATGAGAATAATGAATGGTAACTGTCGGAATCTATTTATGGATTATTACTATACGTATATTTATATCGTATAATTATTACATAACCAAACTATTCATATTCGTGTCCCTCTTATTATGAGCTTTATTTTGACCTGTGAACTAGTATCAAACGATTTACCATTCTTGAGTTATGCCCTGTCTATCAATTACTGTCCTCTACATCCATAGCCACTTTTGACTAGATGTTGTGCAAATGTTATTTTCTATTTTATGGTACGATAAGGTCTGTTTGGTTTGTATATAAACCCAGTATGTTTGAAATCCATGATTCATATCGTAGAGGCTGAGATTGGTGTTCTGGACTGAACAGGCAGGGCTAGGTAGGAAGAATGACTGATAAGTAATCTAGACTGCTCGTACGTGTTTTACGCGTCTTTGGTTCGGTCGATAAATCACTATTCACTAATTGGCGGTATCATTACGTTTTATATTAATAGGGCACAAGGCCAAAAGTTATAACACATATAAACCCTATCTGAATGATTATATCACTATCATTATTGTTCTAGCTTGTTGTATATAACGATCAGTGGTCATTATCACAAATTTTTTTTTAATTTCCATACACTTCTGATGCAGTACAAGCATCGATCATGTTGCAATGTGGCCACCAGTCTAGGTGACTCGACCTGCGGGCACTATGTATTGAGATTTAGATGGTGGTTGGAGGTAGTCAACAGGAAACCCTGGACCCGGGTTTCGTGCTACTTGGCACTCGTCAGCAAGGTGTACCTGTAATCTTGAGGGAACTGGTGCTAGGGAGTCACATAGACTGGTGGCCACATTGAAACATGATCGATAGCACTCGATCTGCACTAATAAGGACTAGACAAGCATGAGATTAATCACCACCCAGTGATCAATCAATTGTGATTACATCTCAGTCCTACAGGAGGTTAGTCACGGCTCGGATAGCTCAGTGGTAACGTCTCTGA